ACGCATGCTTGCAGCTTACTATAGTGTGATCAGTCATTCAGCGATTAAGAAGAACGAAGGATAGAGGTGCAGTTTAAAAAACCGCCCCTGTGCATGTGCTCTTAATACCGATATCAAAGCGACTGGATCAGATTGTTTTTGCTAAAGTAATATAACCTATAACAGGCAAGCAAAAGTTACTTTAATTGTAATTGTAGCTAAATCAGTGGTAGCATTCGTGTCTTTATATTCTAAGCAGCCACTCGGATTCATTAATGCAACAGTTCAGGTAATAAATGCAGTCTTTCAGTTTTTCTAAAGAATAATTTGTGCATAATTAAAAATGAAATGACAGTTCATCATATCCAGACAGCTCACCCATTTGCTTGTATTCAGTGAAGGCAAACAATAACCGGCTGCTTCAAAGTCATCCGCTCACTCTGCTTGTTTTCTCCCCGTCGACTATCATAATTCATTCCTAGCGTGTCAGATATCCCACTGGGGCTGTAAGAGGCATCCAACTGAGCAGTAGATGGAAATAAAATCATTTGGCATTTCACCTATGTCTGTAAGCACCTTGGTATGTTAGTCTGAAGCTAATGAATGATCATTTCCTGTAACATTTACGCTGCATACCTTTGGCAGCCTGGAAGGTTAACAATTTAAGAGGATCTTGCATACGTGGTTTTCCATATTGTAGATGGATGATTCAAAGTTTAGATTTTCCACTATTTCTCTGGTAAAGGTTGAGGAAATGTGGAATGATATAGATGAGAGGGGAAGAGCATAAAGGAGGAGACACAAAGGAAGCAGACTGACAACGGATGAAGGCATCAGACCGGGCAACGCTTGTCGATTTTGTGTCAGCTTGAATGATCTTATTGTCGTTTGTTAATACCCGAAGAAGGCAGTCTGTCAGGTAAATGCCAGCTCAGATAATAGCCACATGGAAGCAGATTTCTTATCAAAGCTGATCTCAGCTGGAATGGGATGAGATTACATAAACAGTCAAATCAAGCAAGATGCAGAAATGTGGATGGATGACGTGGAGACTGATGATAAATGACTTTCAACTGTGGTATATTTTACAGTGTAACATAGAGAACTCAGTGTGTTTAAAGACAAATTAATTGCTATAGCCATATTAAAAAAAAAAAAAAAGATCCACTTCTGTGTCCTGTTCCTTTAAAGTAACTTGAAGCAGCAGTTTGGTGAGTAAAACTCATATAAATAATGATTGGGGATTAATGTTTTCACTGATTGGTAGTAGATTGGAATAAAAATGAAAAACTCAAAATCATTCTGACAGTCTATTAATTCAGTTTCTTGTGTTTGTCTCTGTGTTTCGCTGTAGGTCAGGAATACAAGCAGAACGCCAGGCATCGTAAAAGCAGAGTTATGGGTTTGTCACCCATCAGGTTGTTAGTCTCTGCTCAGAGTCGACACAGCAAAGCCAGTCAGAGGAGAAGGAAGAGAAGACGCATCCGCAGGCTGCTGGAAGGTGTGTATACGCAGTGAAAGCTCATACTTGGGTTTCATTACTTCTTCCGCAGCTTATGTTTTTGGTCGTGTGCGCGTGTCGTCATTCTGTCTGCAAACACATTAGCTCGAAACGTTTTGATTGAATTCTGGTTAAGCGTTGTAGGGGTGTAGAGCGCTGTCATGTTAACAGTACATCAAAATTTGTCTTTCATCCAAAAAAGCCTTAGAACTCAAAAACAAAACATAGATGAATCTGTATCATCAACATATAGGGAATGATCTATGGGGATTCTAAGTATCATATAGCTGTATGTCATTTACACATAGAATGTCCTCATAAATAAAACCAAATTGTACTTAAAATCATGTCAAATATATTAAAATGAGTTTCAGTGGGGCAAATAACAAAAGCCTGCACTTTCCACTTGTTTTTACTTGTATGCTAACACCTTAAAATACTTTCAAAAGAACAAAGAAAATTAAATGAATATATAGAAAATCCAATACTATTCCCTAAACGTAAATACGACCCAGAGTGAGCTGCCTTAGTGGAAATTTGTGCTCTTGATGTTTCTTGTTAGAGCTGTTTGAACAATGTAGCTGCTGATTTTAGTGTACAGCATGCCTGTATATGTCTGTGTTTGTATACCCAGATGAGGAGGATGCCCTGTACCAGCTCTGTGATCCAGCAGAAAGTTCAGATGATGTGCTAGAGGAGAGCTACTCGCATGCATCACACAAGCAGGCCTCACAGGTAACACAAAACATATGTTATTATTAAAAACTAAAGAGCCAAGAAAATGATATAGGTGAAATGTCAGAAGTAGCAGATTTAATTCAGATTAGGATGAAGCGCGGTTAGGATAGGATGGATATGACAGGATAGGATAGATCCACCTACATCACTTAATATGCGCATATGTGTGAAACGTAAAGAAAGATGACCACAAAAGTTTTGTCAGGACATCTGAAGATTTAGAATGACTCTGAATATGTAAACTCTTCTGAACGATTGGTAAGCTCTTGATTCAACCTGGGAACATTTCCTTCTAGGGCTTTGTTCGCAAACGCCAGGGAGAGAACGTGTACAACATCAACAACATTGTCATTCCCATGCCACTGGCTAAAGTAGAAAAGCTGCAATACAAAGAAATTCTAATACCCAGGTATGAAATGGAAACACCCCTGAAAGTGTTACAATGTATCACTATGAACCATAACTCCTTTAGGATGACTAATGACCAGTCTTATTGACTGGTTTTACAGTAGTTGTGATTCTGCATAATTGTATTTTGCAACTTATTTATTATAAACAATCACTTTTACCAGAGTGATGTCTGATTTGTAAAGCTATTGTTTAAAAATGACAAAAGTAAATGGAAGTTGTCCATTATCATTATTATAATGATTAGTTTATCTTTATTGCAGTTGGCGAGTAGTTGACATCCAGCCTCTGATGGAGATGGAGCCAGAGAAGGTGGAGGGGCATGAAACAGAGCATTTCTTTTCTTTGAACATGAGCAGTTTATTTTCATTTGTGAACAATCCAGCATCTTAATGCCCTTCGGTCTGTCTGTCTGTCTGTCTGTGTGTTGTGTTCAGGCTGAGGCTCTCAGTGATGAAGTCTTTGCTCAGCGGCACCTGGCTTTGGAGCAAAAAGAGAAGTTACGCTGGTCGTCCTGGGATAAGAGGAAACACCGTAGGCGCCCTACAAGGTGTGGAAACCCACACAAACTCATAAATGTAGCAATAATGAGAGTAATGCAAAATCTAAGGTGAACCACAATGTTAGAAAATGTTAGAATGTTTTTAAAGGGCCTACAGAAATAAAACAATTCTGTAAAAATATACAATAAACCTCAATAACTGAGGAAGTTAATCCAGCTAGTTAATGAGCAGACAGAAGAACGTGTTATAACCTCAGATCTTCCAATAGATGTTACCTGAATGTGGATTAATGCCACCACTAATCATTGTATTACATTTGGAAAGCTTTAAACAGTGAACTCTCAAAGGCGTGCAGCTGGTTTCAGACTTGTTTTGTTTGTGTGCATGTAAAAACCTGGAAATTTGAGACAGTGTTTCATGGGATGTGTTTGTTTTCTCATTCCAGATCTGGCAGCAGGCTTTTAGGCAGTGGGGGTGGGATGTACACATCAGGAGAGGAGAGTTCTGTGGAGTGGAGTTGCGCTCAGCTGGATCTTGATGATTCGCTGAGGTCAGAGGAGTGGCTGGTAAGATCAAAAGCGCCACAGCTGAAACCTGAAATCCCCAAGACAAACTGAGAATATCACAGGATGGTTGATCAAGGTGACACAGGAGGCAGCTCATGTGGAGTCATGCATATTTACGCTGTTGTGTCCCCAATATGCTGTTTACCGTATTTACGCTTGACTGTTGTTTTCAACACAAGGCGTTGTAAATCATTTAAAGGAAAATCAGCAGACTGCAGCACTTTCACCCATACATTGCTGTAAGGATATTTTCTCTAACATTCCTGTGAAAAAATGAAGCCGTTTCACGTGTCCTTCAGCAGAGACAAAGAATATAAAGCAGCAACATTCATCTCATTCATCTTGTGTGAGCTATGGAGCCTTGGTGGGTTCTTGAGAGCCTACACAGATACTTGTTTCCACTCTTGTTTCCTGTGATGATGCCCTGATTGCAGTCCTCTATTCCACTTTGCTTTGATTGGAGAGCGAATGAGTTGTCCCTAAACCAGACTTACCTAATCAACCTTCTCCACACTACAAATAACCCCTACTTCACTGCATTCATGTGCATATTCACTGAAGGGACTGTTATGAAAAAAAAGGACAAATAAAAAGCTTTCTGCAGTTTTATTTTACACTTAATGTCTGCCTTGCAGGAAATGTATGTAGCCAGTTATGACTACTTACAAAAATGCGCTCCCCTGTCATATTCAATTTACAAATAAAGATAATATTCAATATTTTTCTGAATGTCATTGATTTGTCTTACTTGTCAGCCTCAGACACCCTGGGAGCCTCGAGTCTTTCCTTTGGATGAGGATGAGGAAGGCGCTCTGCTCTCTGATAAACAAGAAAAAGTCCCGTATGGGTGCTTAGGGATTAGTTCAGCCTCTTCCACATCAAAGAACTCAAACTCCCAACCAGCTCCAACTCAGGCTTCTTATGCTACACTGCCCTCTGGGGGACAAAGCAAGAACAGCAGCTGATACTGCCGTGCCTTCTTTTTTTGTCTTTGAATGTAAGTTCATTAAAAATTTTTGTGTGTGTGTGTGTGTGTGTATTTTCTCAATTTTAAGCAAGTTTAATTTGTTTAACCACTTATTCCAGTCATACACTGAATTGTCTGTGCTTTGATTAATCTATCCAGTATGTCATTCATAACATAAAATTATTATTATTACTATTATTGTGACTTTAAAACATACATTATTAATTTATTGGATCATTCATAAAGAGTAGAAAGAGTATTTTAGAAGGTTAAGCCTCTGAAAAACATCCTTCAGTATTTTATCACTTAATTTAATATTTGCATCATTTCTTTTCCAGATCTCCTCTCATCAGGGACAACAAGCAGAACATGTGCCCTAGGAACCTTACCGGGAATATTTAATACATTCCACGAGCATTGTGATCTGATGTAATAAAAAACAACATTTTTTTTTTAGGCAAAAGTGATTATTTTGTTAGGGTTGTGACAGTAGTCACAGTAGTTTTAACTTCTGCAGCGGTTTCAGGTTTTAATGTAAAAGTGGTACTGTATGTAAAGTAATATATCTATCAGCAACTCCACTGTAGTGTCACGTTTCTTTCATGTTTGTATCTGTCAGCGCTATTTATTTCTACAGCTGTCTTAAAATGTAAATATAGGATGTGTTTAGTAACTTTTTATTTAATTTTTAACTTTTACTTGGTGTACTTGTGCTTTCTGTTTGAAGATGCTGTCCTTTTTGTATTTTTTTTTTTTTCCACAAAAAAGAAAATGTATTTGGAAAATATAAAACTTTCCAATATAGATGCCATGCTCTACTTCCATAGTTATCTCAGTGATCAGATCTGTAGCAAAGGGACATGGCTGCCATTTTTTCCTGGATTGAGAAGCTGCACTAGCGACTCCTACTAGGCTTTTGTTTTTTGGGGCCATGCTTTGATTCGGGGTCCACTCAAATCTTCATAAAAAGATATCTGTATATTCATATCCACATATCTGTAGACAGTTTGTAGTCCATCTGTGGTCTAAATTTGAGCAACTAATCACATTCAGGCAAGCTGTTTCCAGGTAAACAATGGAAAGGAAAAGAAGGATGCAACCTAACCAAGATCACCAATAAGACCCAATGAAAAGGTGAATACATGCATCATTTTAAAATGTCTGATTTTTACTTGTGGTACTGCAGTTGCTGAATATTTTATTCTTTTTTGTTGTCGTTTGTTTTGTTCTTTTAAAGCTCTTTTTGCAGTGCCCTATTATTTGCACACATAGGAGCAATAAGAGCAATACACCTAAAAATACTATGTTTTAATCCCCCTGAATATGTGGTCAAATTACAGGGATAATGTCTGCACATGGCTGGACTGAGGTGCCCCCCCAGTAATATCGGTGTTTTGAAAATCTGAAAAATTATTTCCTTTCAGGATTCTTGCAGCCCGTCACTACTGGAAAATCCAACAGGTGTGTGGAAGGATTTCAGGAGGAGTTTAACTAGGAGCAAAAATGTAAAACGACAGAAGGGAGATGAGGTAGAAAACAAGCTGCCTGTGTAATTGGGTCATGACATAGAAAATCTGAAATTAGAATATTGCACATCATTGCTTGTCAAGCTGTCAGTGCCCATTAGTCTGAAAACGAACAAGTCAAGTGAGGCGTCTCTTCAGTTGAGAGCTCCGAGGTTTTAATTTCAGTAATGTGAAGGATGTCTGCAATTCTCGCCAAGTCTACTTAAATAAGATGTAATTTATAAAAGCTGGATGGACAGAACATTGTGAGGTCATTTCAGTGATTTGGATGATTTACCTTTTATGGAGGTCGTCACTTTTTAAGGCCACAGTCTTAAAGTGAAACAGCTGGTATTTTTGATCCCGTATGCATAGCTTCCTCTTATAACGACCTGGGAAGGAGGCAATGGGCAGATGGTGGTCAAGGTCATCCCTCTCACATACTGTATGCATGTCAGCTGCTTTATACTGGGGATTTGGTGCTAAGATTCTAGAAATCAAAACTTGGATTAAATTAAATTAATTTACAGATTATAACTGGATGATTCCAAGTTCATAGAGGTGAATAGGGCTCATCTGTGCTTTCACATGGCTTCGGGTGTCAGCTGAGGTAAATCTTTTCATTCTTTAAGATCCCTCTCCTTGGTCACACAGCATTACAACACTCTTTGTTGGAGTCAGCAGAAAAAAAACGTAAAACTATCAAGGTCGCTTGCACTCACTTCCAGTTGAGAAGTGGGAGACCTTGTCTCTCCTTGAAAACTGAAGAAGAGCTCGAAGTGTCACATCAGTGCAATAGTAGTAGGATTGTCTGATCTCAATAGCACGCAAAAAGAACCTCTTGTATCCACATGGGGGCCATATTGCTTCTTAGAAGACTACACAAGTCAACGAACAATATAATGCATACACATAGACTGTTTCCATGAGCTCTACATCAACTGAGTAAAATTAACCCTAACCCTATAAACGAATAAGCAGATTATTAACCCAATGAAAAGGGGGGAAGATGTGTGCACTGAACTATGAAAAGCAGATTGTAACTACAGCATTTGCACTCTGGGAGGCGCTCTTATATCAAAGAATATCTGAATACCGATTTACCATGTGTAATAAATAAATAAATAAATAAATAATACTTACTGTTGAACTGGGATGACCACAAGTAACAGATGGGAAGTGATTCTTCATTAAGAACATTGTTTCTGGGAAGCCAAACTATTTTTCATGCAGTATTTTTAACCCATGCCCCGAACTGCACGTGTGCCTTTATACTGATTTATTGCCATAGCAACCTAAAGAACGTAATACTTGACGAGACGACATTTCGCCAGCCTTATTTATTTTGCAATACCTGCTGGCGTTGTACCTTTACGTCAACACAGTAGGTTTTACACTTCCGTTTAACCTGAAACGCGTCGGTACAGTTTGTTGCTGCTCCACCTCTGTGATAATTTCTAGCAAAGGGTACACCAGAACACCGTAATGGCTAGTTTAAACACCGACGCAGTCTATCGGAGTGACTAGTAGGATCATTACGGTAAATGTAGGTTGCGGAGCCTGTGTGTGTCCGACAGACCGGGAGTTCCTCTGGAAGACACTACGCCGAACAGGTAAAGAATTCAACACTTCTTTGCTTTTAACAGCATCGTTTTAATGCAGCATAATATATTGCGATTGGCAGCGACTTAAAAAGCATGCGACATTGAATGGCTAGAAAAAGAAGTCCTTAGACCCAGCAGTAAATTGACATTTCAGTGAGCTGAAGCTGAAATGATGAGGTGCCCCTCTGTGTCTGTGTGGATGGAAAAAGGACGCATTGTTCGTCCGAAGGAGAAGTGAATCTGGGCTCCTGTGAGTCTGTGTGCTGTCTGAGCTGTGGTGTGAGCCGGTTTTAAGATGAAAAATGCTGCGAAATTCATCCGATAATAAATCACATCTTAGGAATAGATCTAGAAATCAGAATCCCAAGATGGGTAGAATCCACACTGACTGACCTAATTGATCCACTTTTTAATTTTTTGATGGGGTTCAGGAATAATGTCTGCATTGTGCTACTTAAAGGCTTCACCTACTGCGGTGACTGCGGGAACTTGGCTTGCTGCGGTGGCAGTGCAAGGCTATTGGGCTTTAGTAAGCCTATAACACATTTCGGAAAGCTGTAGGTAACTGTGATAAAATCATCAGAGGGAATCCCTAGAGAAATATGACATTAATTTCCAATCACCCCAGAAAGGAAAAAGGGGGTGCAAAAGGAAAAAAAACAGGTGCTGAGTCATATTGGCGGGTCCTTCCCCTGATTGATCTCACAAATTGAAGCCCTGTATGTGCATGTCTGTTGTTGTCACCGTCGCCACTGCATTTAATGTTAGATTACAGTTTAGTTTATTTCATTTAAAGGCATTTTGAAAGACTTGATGTCTTTATTAAACCCAGCACAACAAATAACACTTATAAAAAAAAAAAAAGCCAGGGCTGTTACACCTCAGAGGTCTTTTTCTTCATACTGAAATGGCTATTAAGTAAGCTCATACATGATGGGTTCCTTACACAGTACATAGGCTTCAGTCCAGTCTCATTTACATACAGGCACTGGCTATTGATTTTCCTCCATCAAGTCCATTTACAGTTTGTGCACACATACATATAAATGCCTGATGCATTCAGGATGAGGCTGCCATATATTGAGTCATGCACAGCCAGGGAGGCTGCTGTGAGCTCCTCCTTGGTGAGGGATGGGGCTCATGCTTTCATGTTTGTGAAGGACCCGGCTGGTCGTTCCACCTAGGTCTACATTTTGCCTGTTGGACGTAAATTCAGCTTTCTCAAGATGCTTCAGCCATCACATCCTTATATCTCTATGGCAAAGAGGACAAGAGGAACATTTCAAGAGCTTACTCCATGTTTGGATCTATACTTTGACATATTCTGGAGAAAAAAAGGCCAAAAAGCAACAAAACTGGAACATATGTAACATGCCTTCTGTTTTTTTCTTTGTGAAGTAAAGGTTATGATTTGCTTCCTTTAAATTGCATTAATATCGACACATTGCCTTTGCATTGGTGATTAATGATGTGTTTATTTTAGCATAAATGACTCCTTTTATATGGGCTTTATGTATTGATGAGAAGGTAAACAGTCTGAGTTTACTGATTGCGTTTCTGATTGTGTTTAGCCGGAAAGTTGACCTCTGATGCAAAATCTTTGTAGTGATAGCCCTTTTTTTGCTGAAATAACCAGTTGACGTTGAAGTATATGTATTAAAACAAACAAGCAAAAAAAAAAAAGTCTAATTGTCTTTCTATTGTCGAAATCTCAGATTAACTGAGAGTAAACTGAAGCTGAAATTATGAGGTTAATTAAGCATTTTGGCTCAAATGTGTAAAAAGAAGGGTTGATGGTTTCGGTATTAAATGTCACCCCTGTTTAAGTTGTTGGAAATAATATTGAAAGAATTCTAAGTAAAGTATTTGTTGTCTTACATGTATATATTGCAGGGCTGTGGTTTGTAATCTCAGCCAATAAGTGTGCAGAAACATTCTTAAAATTGATCAGATCTAATAAGCAAAACTGAAAACTTTCATTTGGCTGTAAGAGTGACAATACCGTTTCAGGTGCCAGTTAGGTTGGGAATAGCACTGCAACCTGGCAGTTCACATTCACGTGTGGCGCCTCGCATTGTGGGTCAGCTTTACATAAGCCTTGTGTGTCAGTGAGGCAACCTAATCCTGATTCCTACAAAGATACTTAGTCAGCCTGGACAGCTATACACACACACACACACACACACACACACACACACACACACACACACACACACACACACACACACACACACAGGCAGTCCTCCTTTGTCACATTCGGAGTTTGATGTAATGCTCCGTGCTTGTTTGTGTCTGTGTGAGACAGAGAAAGTGGGAAAGGCTCCCTGTATGAAAGAAGATAGACACTCAGTGGTATCTTTGGCTGCAGCGCCAACACACTAACACTCAACCGACATGCCTGCCAGCTAACTGCCAATCTAGCTCCCTTCTTTCTGTCCCTCTGGCAAAGGGAGGTATTCCAGGTTTTTGTAGAGATTAGCACACTGGTCAGCGTGCCTGTAAAGTAGTGATTTATAATTATCTTAAGGATCAACTAGGGGCACAGATTTTCTCATTGCTGAGTAATTGGTCAGTTATTTAATTTATAGGTTGATTGGTTTTGATTTTATCTCAAAAATTTGTAAAGCAAATTTTTTTTATTTTTTTTTTTAGAATCCACATTTGTATTAAATACGACAAAAATACTGGCAGTCCTCACATCTGAGAAGCTTTGCAGTTCACATATATGAAAACAGTTTATTAATGTTAATGACTCAATAGGGCTGCTACTGCAGTTACTAGTAATAGTTGTTTATTCTTGTTGATGGCATAAACTTTTGCACTGAGATCCAGGATTCTTTCTTACACACTTGCACTTGAAATCGATCGTGTTTTGAGGAGAGAGGGAAATAGAAAAGCATATGGGGTTCATAAATAACTAGCAGGTCATTGATTAAGAGCTTGCTATAGTACTTTAGCTGACCACTTATATTCATTGTAACAGTGGGTAGTTCGGTGTCAAGGATGCATGGCAGGAGTTCTGTGTCACCAGGATAAGATCCAGCTTTACGTTCGGTATTCAGCAGACTTTGTTGTGCATGGTGTTTAGACAGTGCCTATGCAAAGCACCGGTATGAACGAATGCTTTCAGGTCAGGGACAGGTGAAGGGCAACCATCACCCGGAAGGCAATGTCTTGCTTGATGACAGCAGTTTATTGACACTGGGAAGCTTTGATTGATTTGAAGCTTTGATTGATTGTCCTATTCAGTAATGGTTCCTCCTTGTCAACTAAAGCTATCTGTACAATATGTAGGCTGAAGGATTGAAGCACGCAAAACTTGGTCACCACTCCAACCTTTAATGCAATCATATACAAAGCAGTTATTTCACTTAGGTAGTATTTCCATGTCATACCTGTCAAATGTCACATTTAACCAATGCGATGCAGCTTTTAGTGACTTTACAAATTTTTCTTGTTTATACCGTGAACATCTTACCAATTCTTCCATTGCAATCTTCTCTGAGAGCAGATTATCAGTGGAAATAAAGCGTGTAAGTCGTAATCCCAGATCAGCATTGAAATGCTAATGGAAAGCAGAATGCTGACTTCACTTGTGCTCTTGACAGTCCTGTCAGCAAAAGAGCAATCACGCTGACAAGTCTGAGCTAACTAATTTACATTTTTGGCTACGGTTCAGGAGTGGCATGCCCCCGTGCTGACCTCGCCTGACTTGAAGCTAACGGACATCGACTTCCACACAGATTTCTACACGCTGAGCAGCGTGATGTTATATATGCTTTTATGTGTCTTGTGGAATTCTGTTCCTCAGCTTTGATTTTTATGCCCCGAGGGACAGCTGGGGTCAAGCCCAGTGGTCTTTAGTTTGCGGGAGGCTGAGATCAGTCAAGTCAAACCCACAACCGCCTGCCCCAACATCCAGACTCTCTCTGTCTTCCTGACACCTCTGGTTGGAGTATAGACAATGGCTGTTGGTTGCATACTGAACCTAAAGCACATCTCTTTAGTAATGTGGATAAAACCAAAAGCGTCCAAGCTTGAGCTTGACACAGAGATTTAAAATGTAGTTACACAGATATTTCAGAATGTAGTACTCTGACAGAAAAACCTCTCAATTATTTGAAAGTGCACTAGGCTGTTTTTTTTATTTTTAAATTCACAAATTGCTTCCTCCTTATTGAAAATTCTTTGGACATGGAATATATTTGCTTTTGCTATTGCCAGCACCTCACACTCTCAAATGGGAGCTCTGGCATGAGAATTCACATGAAAATTGGACTGTAGTGTTTTGTATTTACGCATGAATATGGAAAATGAGTCACCGTCCTTCCAATGTTGCATGTCAACTTTCTTACAGCAAAGCCTGTTGAGGATAAATAATATCCAGTCCTCAAGAAAAACCCCTAGAGTTTAAAGTACAAGGTGAGACTTGTATGGTGTAATGATGGTGCGATTTTTACTGCAGTGCCATAATTTGAAAAACAACAGTGTTTATTTTTTTGTCATCATAAAATCACTCACAGGTGACAGGAAGTGATAACATCAGGCAAGAAGCCACAGTTTCACGTACTGTTGGCAGTTCCAGTGTCCAAGCAAATCTTTGTCAAAGAATATGGCACACGTGGCATATAGCACTGATATGTAAGAGAAAAAGAACAGGTGCATGTGTTTACTATTCATATATGCATTTGTGCTTCAAGTCAAATATAGAAAATCGATAAAACACGAAACTTTATTGACACCATTCTGATGTCAGAAGTGTATATGGATGGATTTTTTTTTTCAAAGTAAGGAGAATATGGTATGTAGAACGAGAAAGAAAGCTGATATAAATATATGTGTGGGCTGAAGCAGGAAAAACTTAAGGATGACTCACAACTCACCTAACTATCCTGTTTTTCCTCTCCTCTCCTCTCGTGTGTGTTGTTTTTGCATCTGTGTTTGTGTACAACATCCCTCAGTCTTTGTGTGGGAGTCTGTGCTTAAGTGAGTGGGTATCGTTTACAGCT